AGTATTAGGTGTGTCCCGCGCGCTCATATGACCGTATGCAGTTGCGAGCGCCGCAAAACCCTATACTAAACAAACAAACAATACTCACATAGGAATTTAAAAAAAAAAAGAAACTAGAAAAACACCAACAACAAAAAAACACAAAGAAAAACAAAACTGATCGATATACTCCAGTCAGGCAATGTTTATTGTAGCAATCCTTTATACGAAGACCGATATATCAACAGCGAAATGAACCTATAATCATTAAGAAAAAGAAAGAGGCAAACAAAACAAATGGAAAATCAGTACCCCAAAACATAACCAAACATTCATTATAAACAAATTGTATTGTTTCATTGTCAAATGTACCTCACAGCTTCTGGGAAATATTTTCTTTTTTCCTTAACTTTACCAGTGGTTGAACATTGCTTCTCGGAACTTTCTGAAATAAAACACTCTGCCTCTAGGCTTTCTGTCTGTCCGAGTTGTTCGATGGTTCCAAGCCAGGTTTTTATGTCCCGTTCCCAGTTTCTATCCTGTTCCCTGCTCCTGTTAGGTCTCCCTCTTACTCCTCTCTTTCTCTTGCCTTCCACCTTTACTTCCAGAATATGCTTCCCAGACAGGGAAATAAAATCAAGTTAAAATACTCGACATCTGGTTTGTTTTAGTAAGAGTTTTTCAGCACTTGTAATACACTTGGTTCATATAAATGCCGAAGACTAAAAGATCAATAAACATAAAAATGAATGAGAAGGGATAAGGATCGATAGATGTTTGATATGAAAGAAGGAGTATACCACACCAGAGCACCCGCCAACCACCCATATACAGCAGAGTGGGGGATACAAAAATAGGGTCCCCTGTTTTGTCTCCCCACCATTTCCCCTACAAAAAAACCCCAGCATCCTCATCCACCCTGTAGTGGCGCTACTACCCCACTTGCAGGGAGCCACTCAAGCACCACAACCTCTTCCAGGTACGCGAGGCATCTGTTCTCAAGTCAAATTTGTTTGTTTGTTTTTGTTAGTTTAGTAGAGGTTTTACGGCGCTCGCAACTGCAAAAGGTCATATGAGCGCCAGAAGATTAGAGGTGTTACAAGAGAGTAACAAACATAAAAAAGAAGAAGGAGGGATAAGGACGATAGATGTTTCATAGGAAAGAAGAAGCAAACCACACCAGAGCACTCGCCAACCACCCACGTTTGTTTATGTGTTTCTTTGTTTGTTTGTTCGAGTGAAGAGAAGCACACAGACACAATAACTACACTCGTTTAGTGCTGGGAAAAGTAAGATAAACAGACAAAAACAACAGAGGGAAAGTTAAGAAGTAAAAGGACCTACCAGTGGCGCTCTCTAACCACCTGCTTTCAATCAAACTCAAAGCCTGTTTAATGTGCCCCACACGCTCATATAACCTTATGCAGTTGCGAGCACCGTAAAACACTTTAAAAAACAAAACAACAACAACAACACACACAAACAAAACAAAACAAACCCAAAGCCAAAATTCGTGATTTGCAACATTCCTTAAATCACATATTATTAATAACATTACAACCTGTTTCTTTGTAGAAAGATCTGAGGAATCATTCTAAGATAAGCATGGCCTTTATTTGTCCGTCACAAGACTTTATGGATGTACCCGACAGGCATGGTGCCATGGACACAGAACATCTTTAAAACATGACGTCACAAACACAAACATCCAAAACATGTGACATCACAGACATAAACATTCAAAAGATATGACGTAATTGGTAATCACAAAGACGTGACATCATCACGCGTATACCCTTAGTCTATAATACCACGAAACTATGAAGTCAGTAGATCTACATTCAAAAGACGAGGGCACAAGATTATGGATCTACAACCTCAAAATAAAATGTTATGGGTACAGTACATCCAAATGACACAGCGCCAATGAAACAACATGTCTCTTTAACTATGACATCATAATCAT